TAAACTTTTGATAAAATATTTTTTAGCCTTAGGTATGTAAATGAAAGTTGTAGTATACGTTAAACCGAGAGCGTGCATAAAAAGAACGCCTAAATCTGACTTCGTTTGAGGAAGTTCTAATTTTTCTAAGTTTAGGCATAGCAATGCAAAGCCCGAAATTCGAATTTTAGACCGACCGATTTTTAGCTGACATAACTAAAAAGAGAATCGAAGGTCTTGTTAATAGTAGCTCAACGGTAAAATGACTGACGAAAACGGACGTCAGATGAAGAATTTATGAATTTTTAACGGACGTTTCCTGTCCCGGCCTGTAAAAATATAACTTTAAAAATAAATTCAAAATTAGTCAACGGAGTCTAAACAAAAGTTGTAGAGTACGGTCCCACCAAAGCGTGGATATAAAGAACATCAAAAACAGAGCTCATATGCAAAAGTTACGGATTTTAGAAGATAATTAGTTTTTAGAGTAACCAGCGAGTGACAAGTGGCGCAATCTGAGCTGCACCTTCTTTCCCACGGAATTGCATGAGATCGAGACATGTGGCACATTACGGCCAACGTAATTTTAAGTACGCTTAGCGTAACCCTTAAACACCTTTTACGCTCAACGTAATTCTTGAGTACGCTCAGCATACTCGGTGCTGATAGCCTATAAATAAATAGAGGCGTTTTTCGTCATTTTTCTCCACATTTTCTCAACTTATCTCCCAAATACCCCCAAAGCCTCAATGCTTTTCTCTAGCCTATCTTAGGAGTTACTGGCGAGTCCTAGAGCGCCAGAACACCCGAGAAGGAGAGCTTTCGGCTCATAAGTTTTGCACGCGTAAAGCCCGGTTCTTCACTAAACTCCAATACATAAGTGAGTTATGCATACCCTACTTTAAATATAAGTTATGTTTACATATAATATCATTTTGATGAACCCACAAATAAGATTTATCAATGATTCAAAGTTGTTATACTTATTGACTTACTTACGGGGATGATGTCTAGGCTGTCATTTAGTGAGGTGTTTAAAGTGGGATTTCCAAACAGTATACTTCGTATACCAAACAGACCCTACCTCCGATATGATCCTACCTAGTTGTTCCTTACTTGATAGATCATGAAAGTAGACTCTAAGTTAATGATGAATCTAGAATAAGAATTAGTCGCAATAAATATTAGACAAAAATCTAGTGGTAATAATACTAGGTTTCGTCGAAGGAAATCATATTGTTAAGAAGCGAAGCACTGCTCAAATTTCGAGTCATCACTTTGACAAGTAAGTGCATAGTTACTTTCATCTTACACATAGATATGAAGTTTTTATATAAATTACGCGTTATGTGTGCATATAACCTGTACACTTGCTATCTATGCTGGATGAATGATTTATACATGTTTTAAATAATTTAAATTGTATATGTATTTTATATCTACGAATATGTTGGGTAAAACATGGGTAGATGAATGATGAGAGATGAAAGATGATACGAGTGGACATTGGTAGCTATACACTTAGTGCCTAAGAAATAACATCGACATATATGGACTTAGTGGCTATTAGATAAACGCTAGTAGCTATGGACTTAACACATGTTAGATCAACGTTGGTAGCTATGGACTTAGTACCTATTAGATAAACACTGGTAGTTATGGATTTAGTACCTGATGAATGAACTTTAGCAACTATGGAATTAGTGCTTTATGAATGAGCATTGGCAGCTATAGACTTAGTGCCTGTCTTATAAACCTTGGAAGCAATGGACTTCGGAATGAACGAATGCAGGATAGATGATTTTTAGGTTAGACCCTTAAGAGTAAAGAAGATAATGGGGATGGGTAATTGGGTTGATTGTTTGATGTTTAAACATAATAATTATATTATTGTGGGTTAAAAACCCTATGTGCTCACCAGGTTTGCTAACCTGACGCACTCAGTTTAGTTGTATCATAGGTGTCGATACGAAGCTACATTACACTGAAAGACTAAGGAGATGTAGATCACTAGTTTAAATGAATGTAGTGTGTGTTCATGCTTATGTTTCTTTATTGACGATGACATCCCAATGTTTTAAAAAGGAATAAAATGCATTTCTTCTCGGAAATGCTTTGATAACATATTTATCATGTTTTTTAGGAACAAATTCCGCAACATATTTCTTTAAAAGATACTTTGGTTTTTAAAATAATGCATAAACAAATTGGTCTTTTCTTACTGTGAAAATAGGGATGTCACAGTCATATCCAAATATGATGTGAAGCAACATGACCTACAAGGGCCAAACGACACCCTGATAAAAGGAATAACATCATCTCAGTCATATCAAAATATGATTTGAACCAACATGATATAAAATGGGAAAATGACTCCCCGAAAAAAGTGCAACATCATCTTGGTCATATATGAATAGGATCTGATGCAACATGATTTACAAAGGGAAAATGACACCATGGTAAAGTCTAATGTCAACATAATTGGATCATATCAACGAATGAATTGGAACAACATAACCAAGCACAGAAGAGGAAACAGAAGCAATAATCAAAAAGATGGTACCAATTATTGAATATACCAATAAAAGTTTATCTAAAAAAGCCAACGTAGAAGAACAAATCATATCCAAATATGATGTGAAGCAACATGACCTACAAGGGGCAAACGACACCCTGATAAAAGGAATAACATTATCTCAGTCATATCAAAATATGATTCGAACCAACATGATATAAAATGGGAAAATGACTCCCCGAAAAAAGTGCAACATCATCTTGGTCATATATGAATATGATCTGATGCAACATGATTTACAAAGGGAAAATGACACCATGGTAAAGTCCAATGTCAACATAATTGGATCATATCAGTGAATGAATTGGAACAACATAACCAAGCACAGAAGAGGAAACAGAAGCAATAATCAAAAAGATGGTACCAATTATTGAATATACCAATAAAAGTTTATCCAAAAAAGCCAACCCAGAAAAAACAAGTCAGTTACACTCACAAGCCATCCTCATTAGAATGCTTGCTAAGACATACTAAAGAAAGACAAAGTATAAGGACCCACAAGACCAAATTTAAGAAGACTTCACAACAAGCTGCGCACAGAGAACATGGTTCCCTTAGAGGAAAACCGCATAATCGGCCTCCAAAAGGGCACATTGATTCTCCAAGAATACTATCCTTTCAGGAAAAAACATGGATTTTGTCACTCAATTCCGCATAGTGCTTTCGAACTTCAAACATAACCTCCTCATCAACTAGCTTTATACTCTCAGGTGAATGTAGATTGACCTTGGTGGAAAGATAATGGTGTCACAAACTCTATAATTCAACGAACACTCTCACATTTTTTCCTATTAATACCAACCATAATATCCTCAACATGAGCAATAACTCGGAAAGCTTCATCTAACTTTTCTTGCAATAAGTTGCAAGAATGGCAAGATCCTATACCATATAATACGGACTTTAAAAGTATGTAAATGAAAATAGAAGGAATGGAGACAACTAGAAGAATAGTCCATCATCAGAAGATAAGTCTGTGGGGATCCAGGTTTCAACTAAATCATTTATCTTTAATACGGACAAATTGGTTACATCATGCGAAAATCCCCCAAAATAACAAGAAGTTGGCAACGTACCTACATTTCTTTTTCGATAACAACATTGTACTTTATTTGTTACAAAATGGTATTATTGGTAAAAAAAAATGAAAGTATATTGCTATTATGAGATTTGATTATGGATTTTGACAGATTTAAGGATTTAGGAAGGGAAATGGTTGTTTTTTTTGTGGGGAGATGAAGTGGAGGGGAAGGAAAAGTGTAATGGAGGTAATAGGGGCAATAAAGCCGAATCTGATTGATTTTGGAGCCATAGTTTCTAAATCAGAAGCATAAATTCAAAGTTAGGGATGTCAACGGGGGCAAACGGGGCGGGGAGTGCATCTCCCCCCCCCCCCCCCCTAAAATTTCCCTGTTCCCCCGCCCTCGCCCCCGTTTCCCCGCCCCCGATTGATTATAGGCTAAAAAAAGTTGTTATTTAGGCTAAAATAAGTTATTTTTTAGGTAACAAATAATTATTTATAGCAGAATTTTATATGTTCAAAAATAAAAAAGTTATGGCATTTTAAAAAATTATACTAACAACTTAAAAACATATTTTTTAATGAATTTTGGAAGCTCAAAATCATGTTATTTTTTATTATATTTATATAACTAATATATGTAAGTATATGTGTAATTTATTAACGGGATCCTCATGGGGATTTCGGGACGAGATTGCCTACTCTCACCCCCGCCCCCAAAATTAAAACGGGGGTTAACCTTGTCCCCGCCCCCGATTTTTTTAAAAAAAATCCTCCAAACGGGACGGGGCCTTCACGGAAACGGGATCCCACAGAACTTTTTGACATCCCTATTCAAAGTTTTGATTGTTTTTAGAGCTCATTCAGTCCACTAGTGAGAAGATATGGAAATTGATGTATATCTTATAATTATCCTATGTGAACTATAAATCACATATTAGGAAATTATCTTTCACGGATTTATGACCTTCAATAAACCAAAACGGATCTTTTAATTTTGTCTAAAAACTATTTACATTATGATTTTTTTTTTTTCAGGAGAGAAATTTTATATAAAATCATACATCTCTTTTCCATTTGACGGTAGCTTGACCACTTAGTATTTTGAAGATATGTGCATGATTTTATTGAGCTTTTCTCGAGACCAAGAGATAACTTAGTTAGGGAAGTTTGGTTGAGCGATTTTGGTTCAAGTACAACAAGTTATAATTTTTAAAATTAATATATATGTTTATTTAGGAAGGGAGCATACGATCACAAATAATATTAATAGTTTACAATATTTTGATAATTATACACAACTATAATCAGCAAAATTTCCCAAACTTGATGAGCATTGCCGATTATTTTTATTTATGAAATAAGAAATAACAATATTCGGTCACTTTCACGAATTCAAATCTAATTATACACTTCAAAGATTGATTAATGTGGCGAAAGAGCACCATAACTTCGCCATAGAGGAGCCGGTGCCGGCGACGGAGTAGCCCATTGAACGTTGGACGTCTCCAACTGATTACCAGAATACCCTTTGGAGCAAGGTATATATGTCAGAGATTTTTTATCACGGCAAGAAGGAAGATTCGAAAAGAAACGAGCACAATCTGTCGGTGATCTTTGATTCGGAAGATCCAAAATGCAGTTCATCTTCACATCAAGAACACCTTTCTTGATCAGTTCCCGGCACTGGGGCCCAACCTGAGTGAAATAATTATACGATACAGTGAAATTCGATAGTTTCGGAAGATTGCACACCGCCTCCGGCACCTCGTTGTAGAACTTATTGTGAGCCAAGTTCAGAATCTCCATTTTCTCTAAGCACTGAAACGAGTGTGGGATTGGGCCTGTTAGATCGTTGGATCCGACGTCGAACACTGTGGATTTCTTCAGAAGTCCGATCTCATATGGCAAGCAACCGGTTAACTGGTTGTTCAAGAAAAGAACCTCCAGTAGGGTGTTGGCAGCTCCACCAATGCTCCTAGGGATTTCACCAACGAAGTGGTTGTTAGCTAGGGTTAAATAAAGCGCGGTGGTTGAACCAAGGTTTTCGGGGAGTGTTTGCTTGAAGTTGTTGTCGTTGATGAATAGCAAGTCGAGGTTGAGAAGAAAGACTTGTGAAGGAACCATGCCGAAATAATTGTTGAACCTGAGGTCGAGGAATACTAGCCTTTTTGCACCGAAGACTTCATGGGGAAAGTCGCCGGAGAAATTGTTGTTACTGAGGTCGAGTTCGTATAAGTACTGGAGCGTGCTTATTTTTAAAGGGATGGAGCCCGTGAAGTTGTTGGAGTTTGCATGGAAAAAAGCCAGATCTTTCAAACCGATTAGGAGTTCACTGAGGGTTAGGTGTTTGCCATTGAAGTTATAGTTGTTGAAGTTGACGCCGGCGATGCCTTTTTGATTACGATTCGGTACGGTGTCGCAAATGAAACCTTTGTAATCTCTGCATATATTTTTGCCCATCCATGTTTTTGTAATGTTTTTGGGATCGTATGTCACCTTTTTTTTGAAAGCTTTGATTACTGGAGCAGCAAGTGCTAGTAGCTCGCTCTCGTAACCACCGTAATCACCGGCTGGTGGTGGTGGTGGTGGTGGTTGTCGTTTTGGTGGTTGAGGTGGTTGTCGTTTTGGTGGAGCTGGAGATAGGGGTCGTTCTGGCGGAGGTGGTGGTGGTGGGTATTGTTTTGGTGGAGATGGTGGTGGAGGACATGGAGGGGGAGGAGGAGGGGGGCAATCTTGATAATCAGGCGGTGGTGGCAATGGAGACGCACCACCACCGCCTATGATTATCTCAAGTGTTTCTCTAGGAGTAACAGCTTCTCCATTGATAACAAAGAGAAGAGTGATGCAAATCGAGAGTGGAATTGCATGAAGGCCGCCCATCTCTCATCCGAGGAAGTTCAGTGAATAAAAAAAAAAAGATAACGAATTTGTATAAATAATAGAGTCACGGGCATCATATTGATGTAAACTTGTCTTTTTCCTCTCATTTGTTTCCCAAATTTTTATTTGGGTGAAAATGCCAATTCGCCAGCCATAATTATATTTAAGAAACAAATATGGTGTACGTAGTTTGATCAGTAATACATTAGCTAAACTGGCAACTAAGTTCTATATAATTAATCTTATTCTTACACATGCAACCAGCCAAATTATAACTTAATCTACTCTGTCACACCAATCAACCCAATCGAAACAAATTACTGGTTCTGGTTTTCAATTTGCTTGAATAAAGAAATAATAGGATTTATTTGTGGTGAAGTTGAAGCAATATAAACAAGAGCGACTGTTTTGCGGTTTTATCCTCAAAATGGAATTTTTCTGGTGTTTATATTCTACATTTTTCCATTTTTTTTTTCTCAAATATCACAGTTTGCCAGTATTGCCTTTATTTTCCGGTTACCATTTGATGGACTTTGGCTGATGTGTTTTGATGCTGCCACATCAGTGGCTAGCTCAGCACGTTAAAATGCATCAACAATATTAACACATAAATGAAATTGCTCATGAGGGTTTAATCGAGCCGGAGTCCAGGCCATGCTCGAAACAAAACTCAAGTAAAACACTCGAACTCGAAACTTAACTCGAGCGTTACTTTAAACTTGGGCTCGTGCTTGATAATATAATTGATATTTCGTGCCTGGCTTCTCTCGACTCTATTAATTATTAAAAACGAATTACATAAAGATTGTCATAGTAATAGGATTAAGGTCGTAAATTCGACTCAAATTATGTAAACTTAACTAAAATAAATGATAAAAGTATAAATATAACTAAGCTCAAATAAGCTCGCCAGCTTCATGAGCCTAGTATTACAATACTCAAGCTCTACTCGTTAATATATTCGAGTAGCTCGAGCTCGAGTTCAACTCGATTCAAACCGAATCGATTTCGAGTGTTTTTTGAGTTGGATATATGAGTCGGCTCAAATCAATTATATCTTTAATTAGTTGGTCATATCCAAAGATGGAAACTCACAAACCTTTACGCAATGCCCTAACCATTGGCCCAATATACATTTTTTTTTTTTGTAAAAACATCCTTGCTCAACCTTGTGACCTTTTAGTTTGAATGATAGAATCTCTTTTAACAAACAAAACTTAACTTACCCTTTTATTAAGGGAGTTGATACTTCTACTTTTATTTTATTTTATTCATCCACTTAAATTTGAAGTAGTAAGACATTTTTGTCCTTATTACTAATTTAATATGAAAAAGATAAATGAGTATTTTATTCGTCCATTTAAATTTGAAATGGTATGACATTTTTGCCCTTATTACTAATTTAATATGAAAGAGATAAATGAGTTATATCATTTTTTTCAATCTTTCACCCGATCATTTTTTATGTTCCAGCCATCATACACTCTCTTCATCGCAGCCACCACACCATCATTCACATCCAACCACCGTCAACCAACCCTTGATACACCATAAAATTGGCGACAGACACATCATCTTCTCTTAAGAACATTGCCATCATCGTCAAAATCATCTCACGCCACACACCATTCCCATGCAGCCTCCACCATCTTTTTTATTAGACTCAATTCAGCACAACCTTCATCACAAATGAGCAGTCATCACAGTTCCACTTCAGGCCATTACCATCATCATCGTAACCAATGTTCCTTCTTCACTAGCTTCACCCTACACCAACACCATCAAACCTACAACAAGAAACAAGCAAGAAAATCACCATCTATGACCTCCCACCCCCAATTGTTTTTCTGATAATCACCATATGTATTCAAATTTGTTGATTTCACCAGATTTGAGAATATTCAAAGTTGTTAATTTGAAAGAGGTTGCAAGAAACTTTATTCAAGATTTGGGTATGGATGATTTCTGATTCAATCCATTCACGCCATCCAGAAGCCAAGAAAAGATCGGGATAGACCTGCACACATAGTTGGAGCATCGATTGGGGGTGGGTCTCATTGAGGTGTATATGCATGGGGATCGATTCAAAACAGGGAGCGATTCAGAAGGAGGATTGACAACTTGGAAGAAGTAGCAGAGACCGCCCAATGGAAAAGAAGAAACGACACCCGACGAACGCCGAAGAAGCATCGTTGATTCTTGTATGAAGACTAGGAATCGGCGTTTATTTTGGGAAGAGAATTAGCGTTAGAACGAACCGGTGTTTGGGATGTTTCTATTTTGTCATATTTTTGAAAAATAAAAAAAAAAAGGCAAAAATGTCAAAATACCTAATTTCAAGTGGATAAATAAATCACTGGGAGTCATCTTTTCAAATCTCTATTTCTTTTTTATTTTGATTTAAAATTTGGTTGTATATTAGAAAAATATAGAAATTAACTTTTTCTATTATATTTAGCAACGATATCAATTATTAATTCATTTCAAACTTCAAATCCCTAATGTTAAGCAAGATCTTTATTTGTTTAGATATTACTTCGAATCCCTAATATTAAGCAAGATCTTTATTTGATATTTTGTAACATTAATATATCAAATACCATTTAACAAATTATTGAAATAATCCATTTGGTTTGCAAGAATTTTACTTTTGGTCATTATATTTTTTTGAGACAAAATTACAAAAATAGTCTCTATGGTTTGCCAAAAGTCATAAAATCAGTTCCTGTTAATTTTTTTGACGAACATGGTCTCTGTGGTTTCCAAAACTTACATCAATGGCCATTTTTGCTTGACGTCGTTACTGTTCATCCGTTAGTGTAAAAGTATTTTGGTCTTTTCAAGTAGCAAGGACTGAGTTTGTGATTATGGGTAAACCATAGGGACCATTTATGTATTTTTTTCTATATTTTATGTTTATAAGTTTATGACTTTTCCACCCATTTACTTTTTAAAATATCACTTTGAACCCTTCACTTTGAACTTTGAAAAATGTTACTTTCACCCCTCTATTTTCTAAATTTTCGTGTTTAACCACGTATTATATATAATTTATTTTTTTATTAATAACTTTTGTTCGCTAACCTAAAAAAACTATTTTTACGTGTTTATTTTCATATATTTGTCGGTATAGTTCAAGGTGATCAACGTTTCGACTATAATTTAGAACTTTCTTTCGTTATTTTTTTAAAGTTACATGTTTTTTGTTTTTATAAAATTGTCGGTTTAAATTCGAGCTTATTTTTTGACATAGTTTTTTTTTTTTTTTTTTTTTTTTTTTAATTTATTTACGTTTCCTACGTATGAGACGGGTCATATATAATAACTTTCGTTTGTTAATTTTAAAAAATATATTATATTCGAGATTGTCAATATTTTGATGTATTTTGTATACATTTTGTGCTTAATTTTATATACATTCCTACGTATCATTTGGATCATATATAATAACTTTCGTTTGTTAGCTTAAAAAAATGTAGTATATTCGAGTTTGTCTATGTTTCGACCTAACTTTTGTTTCATGTTTTTTACGTATCAATATAGATTCGAGTTCATCTATATTTCGACATAATTGTTTTTATGTTTCGTGCTTATTTTTATGTACGTGTTTTTTTTATTCATGTTTTTTTACGTCGAAATGCAACTTTTATGACTATAATCACCAAAATTCAATTTACAAAATTCAAACTTATAATTACGCTTTTATCTATTATATGTAAACAAATTTATACGTAGAAACATACATAAAATAAGCACCAAAACGTTTTCGTGCTTTATTTTCTGTACGTTTCCTACTTATGATTAGGGTCACATATTATATATTTTTTATTATTTAAACTTTCGTTCGTTAACTTAAAAAGATCTTACTTATTTTTATGCACGTGCGGATATAAATTTGAGTTTTTCTTTTTCTTTATTTTTTATGTTTTGATTTAATTTTTTTTTGTTCGTTTTGGTGATTATTTTATGTATTTTCCTACGTATAAGTTTGTTCACATATAATAGATAAAAGCGTACTTATAAGCTTGAATTTTGTAAGTTGAATTTTGGTGATTATAGTCATAAAAGTTGCATTTCGACGTAAAAAAAAAACATGAATGAAAAAAACATGTACATAAAATTAAGCACGAAACATAAAAAAAATTATGTCGAAATATAGACGAACTCGAATCTATATTGATACGTAAAAAACATGAAACAAAAATTAGGTCGAAACATAGACAAACTCGAATATACTACATTTTTTTAAGCTAACAAACGAAAGTTATTATATATGATCCGAATAATACGTAGGAATGTATATAAAATTAAGCACAAAATGTATAAAAAAAATACATCAAAACATAGACAATCTCGAATATAATATATTTTTTAAAATTAACAAACGAAAGTTATTATATATAACCCGTCTCATACGTAGGAAACATACATAAAGTTAAAAAAAAAAAAAAAAAAAAAAAAAAAAACTACGTCAAAAAATAAGCTCGAATTTAAACCGATAATTTTATAAAAAAAAACCATGTAACTTTAAAAAAAAAATAACGAAAGAAAGTTCTAAATTATAATCGAAACGTTGATCACCTTGAATTATACCAACAAATATACGAAAATAAACACGTAAAAGTAGTTTTTTTAGGTTAGCGAACAAAAGTTATTAATAAAAAACAAATTATATATAATACGGGATTAAACACGAAAATTTAGAAAATAGAAGGGTGAAAGTAACATTTTTCAAAGTTCAAAGTGAAGGGTTCAAAGTGATATTTTAAAAAGTAAATGGGTGGAAAAGTCACAAACTCATAAACATAAAATATAGAAAAAAATTACATAAATGGTCCCTATGATTTACCCATAGTCACAAACCCAGTCCCTACTACTTGAAAAGACCAAAATACCCTTACACTAACGGATGAACAGTAACGGCGTCAACAAAAAGGGCCATTGATGGAAGTTTTGGAAACCACAGGGACCATGTTCGTCAAAAAAAATTAGTAGGGACT